GAGGTGGAGGAGCCGCAGGGGCCCGCCGAGGCGGCGGCGGCGGCAAGATGGCGGACTTCCTGCCGTCGCGCTCCGTGCTGTCCGTGTGCTTCCCGGGCTGCGTGTTGACGAACGGCGAGGCCGAGCAGCAGCGCAAGTCCAAGGAGATCGACAAATGCCTGTCGCGGGAGAAGACCTACGTGAAGCGGCTGGTGAAGATCCTGCTGCTGGGTGCGGGCGAGAGCGGCAAGTCCACCTTCCTGAAGCAGATGCGGATCATCCACGGCCAGGACTTCGACCAGCGCGCGCGCGAGGAGTTCCGCCCCACCATCTACAGCAATGTGATCAAAGGTGCGGGGACGCGGCGGGGCTCGGGGACCCCTGGGGAGCGGGGCCGGGCACCGCCCTCACCCGCCAGCCGCGAGTCTGTGGAGACTGGACCGGACCAAATCGGTCGGGCGAGCGAGCGGGTGGGCGCGCCTCGGGCACCGTCCTGTGCGCCGCTGTGCCCTGGTCCTCCGATCCCGACGTCCCGCTGTCCCTCGTGCTACCCCAGTGTGGGTCACGGTCGGCCCCGCACCCCGCCGCTGGCCTCGCCCCCTCTGAGAGGGAAGTACGGCGAGCAGGGTGACTCCGGGCAGCAGGGCGACTTGTGTCCTCCCAGCACACCGGACTAGCCCATCCATCAGCAGTCCCAGGTCCTACACTCCCATTCCTTCCCTCATCTCCTGTCCCTGGTGGGTGACCCTAGTAACCGGGTCGGATACCCTTCCAGCTCTAGGCTTTCTAGGCCACCTCTTGAGTTAAGCAAGTTCTGGAACGGTCGCAATGAGGAAACTTTTTTTTTTTCCCTGAGACTCTTGTCAAGGGCATAGAGTGACAGCCTCTGGGGCCTTTTGGGGCAAGAGTATGAAACTCAAGGGTGCCGCGTTTACTGAACTGGCATCAGGAAAGCCTATTTAAAAAAAAAAAATTATCAGGCGAGTGGTTTTACGCCCCCCCCCGTGCTACAGGATGTTTGTAATCACAGTTCAACATGTTGCACACTTTCTTTCTTTCTTTTTTTTTTTGCTTAATAACTTGGGACAAGAGAAAAAAACGGCATCATTTCTAATACTTAAACGAATGTGTGTTTAACTGCAAAGACTCTGGCTTAAAAGTCGTTGGAGACCATACAAGAGGAGTTAGTGGTAGTGAATATGGGTAGTTTTGAATCATGGATTTTACAAATTCTGTTTGACATTTTAAAATTAAAATATTGTTCCTCTTTGAAAGACACACAAAGTCTTTCTTAGCATTCAACGAAGCCATGGAGGTGGCTTTTACTTTGTCATTTAAAATGTCACCTTTCGTATATTTTCTTCGGTGTCAAGTATCTTCTACATAAAAGACATTGGCAAAGTTGAGGTACAGTGCCTGATGTTTTGTGTGATTAAGGAGTCACCCTGTTTTATCTGGGACTTGTAAACAAACTTTAAGATTATAGGTCTTTTCAGGTTATTATGTGGCTGCTTTTTTTTTTTTTAAAGTGGGTTTTTGTTGTTCAGGAAGTATATAAAGCAAGCCCCTTCATGTCCTAACTCCTTCAGGATTTCGATTGGGGAAAAAACTAGAGAGGGGGGGCATTGTAGGGCAATGAGGGGAGAAGGCTGGACCAAGAGCTCAGAGTCTGTGGCTCTAAGCCATGTATCGCTGCAGTTAAACTGTAAAGGATGGTTGGGTTGTATTTAGTCTGCCTTAATGTTTAGCACAAAACTAATTAAGGTCTCTTCTAAGGCTGTAAACTGTACCTTGCTAGTCCATAATTGAAGGTACCTTTGTATCCTGCTGCAGTTGAACTTAAAGAATTATGTTAATGAATGGACTCAGGTATTCACTGTGAGTAAGGTAAACACCTAGTTTTTTGTATACACTGGGCCTAAGAACTACTTTGAGCATTATTGTGTGATCAAGTTTAAGTCTAGCTAGGTGTCTTTTTTTTTGAGTTGGTTATGGTCAGAAAACTGAAAGCAAAACAGTTTTGGGTTTTTTTTTCCAGTATCCAAAAAAACGACTTCCTAATAGACTAAGACAGAAGTAACAGTTTAGTGACAGTATTGAGTGCGAACTGACCTGAGTAAGTGGAAGCCCCTGTTTGTGTATCATCATGCGATTGGTTTTCCTATTAGACTGCTGTAAAGCCAGCAGATGACTGTACTGATTTGAGGCATGGTCTTGGGAGGCTCTAAGTGTGTCATCCAGAAGACCGTGTGGGTAGGAGCTGCAGGGCCCTGTCTGCACAGCGCGTGGTTCTTGGCTTGTGCCAGGCTGTCTTGAGCCTGGACTTGGGGCTAGGCCTCATTATTTACTTTTCCGTCTCTGATTTTGACCGTCTTCCACTCCAGAAGTGGTTTTATGATTGCTGTGTATTAAAATCCTTCCGAAAGAGTGATTTTTGTTAGTGATATTACTTTCCAAGGCTTCTAATTTTAAGACAGCGAACAAACGTTTTTTAAACCTCTGAGAAGATAAAGGTTCTGTTTCTGGATTCCATTTTGGAAGTGGGGGTTCTGTAATAGCTAAAAAAAAAAAATTAAGGAACCAATACTGAATAATGTGGGGGTCAAAGATTCTAATGGTATCTTAATGACTCTTCCTCATTTTTCTTTTTCTGTTTTTAAACAAAGGTATGAGGGTGCTGGTAGATGCCCGAGAGAAGCTTCATATTCCCTGGGGAGATAACAAAAACCAGCTCCATGGCGACAAGTTGATGGCATTTGATACCCGTGCCCCCATGGCTGCCCAGGGGATGGTGGAAACTCGAGTTTTCTTGCAGTACCTTCCAGCTATAAAAGCCCTGTGGGAAGACAGTGGCATTCAGAATGCCTATGACCGGCGCCGGGAGTTCCAGCTGGTAAGACATGCAATTCCCTAAAATTTATCTGTTTATTTTGTGTGTGTGTTTTTATTTATGTGGGGAAGGGCATCTGCATGCCATAGTACACATGTAGATGTCAGAGGACAACCTGTGGGAGTTGGTTCTCTAACGTGTAGGTTATGGGCATAAAACTCAGGTCCTCAGGCTTGGTGACAAGTGCCTCTACCTGCTGAGCCACCCTAGCTCTGAAGGGTACTTTTATTAAATTACTTTTAGTAATGTTTGGTTTAGCACCTCTTAGAGCCTTTCACAGTGTAATCTATTAGGTAAAAGATGTAGCCTCAAATGTTGGTTTGCTGTGTGTGCTTTTTACTAAGCAAGATTAAAAACTATGGTCAACTCTAGATTTAATGAAGCTATTTTACTGGCTAGGACGTAAGGTCATAATGACTTTCTGATGACCTTTCTTTTTGGAATAAGTCCTCTGAGAGAATCTAGTTGTTCGTATGTGCCATTTAGCCTCTGAGGTTCTTATTTTATAACAGAGATGAGTTTGATATAAAGAGAACCTTTTTTCTTCTTTGCTTTGTAGACCGGGCTGGTCTTAAACTTACAGTGACTCTCATTTCTCTGGCTCCTTAGTGCTAGGATTAGGGGCATGAGTCCCCATGCCCAGCTGAGAGACTAAACTCTTAACAGTAAATATTCTAAAAATATTTTATAAGAACTGAAATACTGTTTCTGTGCTCTTGTTTCACATGGGAAATAATTTCCATTTGTTTTTCCTCCTTTATCTTAAAACAGATTATAAAATACTTCATAGCTTTTATACACTATTGAAGGGTAGGAAAGAAGGATCGAAGCCAAGGTTAAAGAAACAGCATGTTTGGGGGTGGCTCATACCTATGCTCTTAGCGATTTGTAAACGAGAAGCAGAGGAATCATAAGCTCCAGGCCAGCCTGGGTGACACAGCAAGGCCCTGCCTTCAAAAACAAAAACACAAAACCAAGAATTGAGACAAAATTTTTAACCAAATGTTTTATAATTTAATTGTGAGCACTTTGATCGCATTTGGTTCTGTTTGCCAAATTCCATCAGCAGTAGCAATGTAGCCAGTGCACAGTTTAGAGATAGTTCAGATCTGAAGTGCTTTCCTGTAATATAATTAAAGTCACAGTTAAAAGTAAAACTGCCTAGGAAATTGTTTGAGGATGTATGTTGCTGACGTTCAAGTGGCTCCCATGGGTGTGGCTAGGCAAGGATGTACAGCACCAGTCTTCCTTTGTACAGTCTAGGCTGTTCTAGAAAAATTACAAGGAAGGTTTATGATACCTTTTTTACAAAAGCCATGTCTTACATCCTTAGTGTAGCATATACTATGTGCTGGCTAGGACAATTCATTCCTGTATACATCTTTTCAAATTCATGTATTGAGTATCTGGCAGCATTATACATCAAAAAAGATGAATTCATCAAGTCACTAGATTTCTGGTTATTTTTGACCTTTGGTCCCTGTTGTCATTGTATTTTCTGTTGACTTGCTTGCTCTCCACATATCCTTTCTCATTGCTCCCTTCTACCACCCTCCTGTTTAAGGGCAGCTTATATCCTTCTTGGTTTATTTTCTCAATAGATACACTTTTTTCCACTGTTCTCTCAGATGTTTATCTTCCCAAGGCCAGGGAAGAAGCAGCCAGCTACACAGTAAGCAGTCAGTACACCCTGAATGAATAAACGAGCAACAGTGTATCTGTTCTTTCCCTCTCGATTGTCCTAGACCTAGCTAATGGAAGGAAGTTGGGATGTCATAGTTTCGGAGTCTGTGCTCTCACATCTTATTACCACATCAGGGTCTGTGTCATTGTTGAGAAAGGCACATGTATGTGTTTTATTTATCGAAGAGCAAACAGAACCACTCAGAATGAAGACCTCTGTATTCTTGACTTGACCCAGCTAATGTTTCAGTAGAAGAATGCTACTGAAAGGGAAAGGCGGGTTCCAAAAATACTTGTAAAGATAAAGAGTAGAGGCACAGAAATGAGAATAAAGCAAGATCTACTGGTAAACTGGAGGCAAGGATTTCTCTCACCTGTGTGTATTTTCAGCACTGTCAGTAGTATCTGGCCCGTGGTAGGCACTTGATTATTGTATTTTTATAATGGGCTGTGGTGTCTGGCACTAAGAAAGCATGTTGCTAATTTAAACTCTTCCCCAGAGGCACCATCAGCGCCTTACCCCATCCTGCAGACCCCTGGGTGCTGTCTTTTCTCGTCTGTAACTTCTGATGTACTCACCCCCTTCTTTCTTCCTGCTCTCTCCGTTATTCCTCTCAGACTCCAGAAGTCATCTTGTTGAAACTCAGAGGGTTCTGACAGTTTCCTCTGCTGCTAGAACATGCCTCTTGTGGGTAAAGGCTCCAGCTAGCTTAATTGTGATTTCAACACTATAATTGATAGGCAGCAGGACATACCCTATAACCTCTTAATTCCCATGTGTCCTGATTTTCCACTTCCCTAGCTCTCTTTATATCGTTCTTCTGCCAGGATTTTTTGGGGTCATGTGTGTTCATTAGCTTTTCCTTCATTTAGAGCAATGGTATAATCAGATTTTTAAATATTTTAATTGAATTTTTTTAGTTTTTTATTATTATTATTGTTATTTTATGTGTGTTTTGCCTGCATATATGCTTAGTGCCTATGGCAGTCAGAAGAGGATATTGGACTTCCTAGAACCAGAGTTATGGATGATTGTGAGCCTCCATACTTGAACTGTGATATGCACTCCCCGCCTCAATTAATAATTAAGTAAAGATTTTTAAATGTTTTTAATTTCAGTCATTGGTTGATTATATTAGACTTCCTAGTGCAAATTGAAATGAGAATAATTACTGACATTTTTAGAGATCCTTTCATATCTTACATTTTGCTTAAGTTGAGTGAGTACCTCTTGGTTTTCAGACACGGGAAAATGGTAACAATGCTGCAGCAGACCGCTCATTTATTAGTTGTAATTTTGGATGCTAATAGCCTTTTTTTTTTCTTTCTCAAAATTTTCATGTCAAGCATTTCCTTTTCTGGTTAGTTTCCATTGTGGGTAAACTAAATAGCTTATGTGGAAAAGAAACATCCCAGAATCACATTGTCGTCCAGATGTCAGGTGCCTGTCCAGTTGTAAGCTAACACATTGAGGGTAGTATGTTGGAAGAAGTAGTCTCATAGCTAGTTACACTGACCCTTGGCTGTCAGTTCATGGTCGCCTATCGCTGTGCTTGTGGCATATCTTGTCCTTTGAAACACTTCTAAGATGACAGTGGCTAGGACACTTGGTAATGTGGATGGCAGCCTAGGTGAGTTGGCTGGGTGGAGGACTGGCTGGGTATGGTACAGCTGGCAACATAGTCAGACTGACAAAATGCCCGGAGTCGCCACCCACTAGTCTCTTAGTTCAGCTTGCAGTGTAAGCAGCACTGGCCACAGAGGACAGGACCGGCTGTGTGACAGTGGGAGGAGCAGGGGACAGCTTCCTAGTTTCTGTAAACAGTTTAGCTTTGTCAGCATTAGTACAGTTTCCTGTAATGGCCAGTCTGCCCTTGCCGCTCTTGAAATCAAAACTATTCTTGTTAATCATTCATTGTCCCTTCAGTGGGGCTTGAGTTTTCTTGCTCAAACGGTACAGTTTGTTACTTCTCTAAGCTGATACGTTATTGATGGAGACAGATTGTCCTGCAATCTATGTAGCAAAGTATTTTGCTCCATGAGTGGTCTGTAAAAAGGAGGTGAATGTCACCTGGTCAACTAAGTAAAGCTTAGAAACTTCTGTTTTGGTTGGTAAAATATTTTTGTTTGCACTGCAGCACTTACTAGAAACAATACCATCTGAGTCTTTTGTTTATTGTTTATTCTTTAACACAAATTTGGATTTGCTTTAAAAGGTGATTGAGGCCAGGCTGAAGCAGGAGGATATTAATTTGGAAACCAGTTTTGATAGGGGAGTTCAGCCAATCACATTCTGTTCGTGGGGCGTGTCGCCCTTAGGCAAAAGTTTACCTATAAACCTGGTGAGTGTGCTTCCCCTATCTCTCTCTCTCTCTCTCTCTCTCTCTCTCTCTCTCTCTCTCTCTCTCGCCTGGCTCCTGTATCCGGACAGATCAATGGGATTCTGGTGTAAGTCTTCCCTCTGTTTATTAAAGCTGTATATTTTGTATTAAGCTAGACTGACAGATCTTTTATTACCGATCGCACCGTGCCCTTTCACAGTTTAGGCTGTATAGAGAGTTCAAGGGTTCTATTGGAGACCCTGGACAGGGCCAGGGGAAAAGAACCAGAGACCCCAGGGTATGCCTGTGCCCTTGATACTTTAAAGGGTAGTACTGTGCCTTCACTATCACTCTGACAGAAAACAAAGTTACTGCTAAGTAGTTGGTGCTGCTGCTAATGTGTTTATTAACTAGGAAAGCAATGGAGCAACGAAGTAGTCTCACTGTGACTAGTTTAGTTATAACTGGGCTTTAGTTTCAGAGTTGTGCTTCGTGGTGGACCTAATCCAGGACAAAAGTTTATGAGCTCACTTTAAAGAAAACACTAGGCACTTCCTGGGTGGACTGTTCCCATTCTTCTTTACAAATAGGCTGCAGCTTAAACAAGCTGGGGGTGGCTATTATTTTTCTAGAGAGTTAATTGTTTAGTACCTTAATGTTTGGGACAATCAGTTGGTAGTTTTCAAATCACTGTTGCATAATTATCCCCTAATTCCTCAATAGCAGACAGTGATGAGATACTTGCCATTGTTCTCAGCTCATAGATGGAGAAAGTCTGAGGCCTGGGCACAGGTTCCCTGATACTTTGGTTCCCGGACCTAGTAAATGATGGTAGACTGCGAAGCGGGAGTCCTGTCTGCTCATCCCTGCTCCATCACTCCTTGCCCTGCCACTGAAGCCTTCTGCCAGCACTCAGGCATTATGTCCCTGGAACAGTTGGCTTTCCTCTCATTTCCAGCCTTTTTGGGATTCCCTTTGCCCCAAATGGCCAGCATGCTT